TTTTTTTGTTTTGTTTTTTTTGTTTTTGTTTTTTTTTTGTTTTTGTTTTTTTTTATTACAAAAATATTCAGTCAAAAAATGTCATGATACCATTTCTGATTTTAGGTCTCTGGTTTTGGACCCGGAAGGGAATTAGTAAACAACAGAAATCAAAGGGGGGGAGGAGGAGGAGGAGGAGGAATAATAATAGTCGTCGGAGCTCTGTGCCTCGTGAGAAAAGGAATAGACAATTTCACTAACAGTGTCCCAGCTAACATCAACAAACAAGTTGCCAGAAGATCGCCCCTACAAGGAATATTCCTTATACTAAGAAAAGTTCCAATTTTCTTATAGGACCCGGCTCTAAAGGATACAAGACAGGAAACATACACAAATAATAATAATAATACTCCGTCCAGTGCCACAGATTTGTTTGTGAGTTGCCTGAACGTAAGCAGTTGAGCATGTCCCCTAGGAACGGGAGTAATGGCTAAATGTCAAGAAGTTGATTTTTAAGTTCTGGCGATTTAGGTGTTACCTCTCGATACTTGGGAAAACCCTCAATCGGAAAGCACCTGAGCGGACTGGGTTACGCTACCCGAAGTTATTTCCAACTGGGCCTCACATGTAAGTTTATGCACTGCTTTTATCAAAACCTGTGACCATATCGCGAGCATTTGCCTGTAATACCTTTATAAGACTGGACGCCATGATGGATATACTCTTTGTAGTAGCATTATTTTGTTGGCTCTCTCTCTCTCTCTCTCTCTCTCTCTCTCTCTCTCTCTCTCTCTCTCTCTCTCTCTCTCTCTCATAATAATAATAATGTAATTCAGGTTAATTGAAGAATTGAAAGTGGCAGTAATAATGATAAAAATAACAAAATAATGATCATTAATTATTAACGAGGTGGGGAATGAAAGGCTAAGAAAAGGAAAGAAAAGCTGATACAAAGGGTGAGAAAGAAGAAAAATATGAAAGAGGAAAATATTAAATATAACGCGAAGCCAAATGAAGGAGGAAGGAAGGAAAAGAAAAGAAAGAAGGAGAAAGAAAAAAGAAAAAGTAATAGAAAGAAATTAAAAAGGAAAACAAAGAAAGAAAGAGAAAAAAGAAAAGGTAATAGGGAGAAATAAAAAAGGAAAACAAAGAAAGAAAGAAAATGAAAGAAAAATAAAGAAAAAAGAAAGAAAAGAGAAAAAGAAATATAAAGAAATAAAAAGAAAAGAAAACAATGAAAGAGAAAGAAGAGAAAAGAAAGATGAGAAAGATGAAAAAGAAAGAAAAGAAAGAAAGGCTAATAGAAAAACCAGAAGGCTTTATCTGAGGGAATAATGCAAATCAAAGAGCGAACCTACTGAGAAAATGAAAAGTATAAGGAGACAACGTTGAAAAGAGAAATAATGGAAGAGAAAGAATGAAAATGTTTTCCCCTCTAATCTACAAACGAGCTCACTTGATGTTATCTGACATGTTTCGTGCGTAGAAGAATACTTGCAATAGATCTGGTCATCGGCTTTGTTAACTCCTCGAAGCTGCTATGGCATCATTCTTCGTTTTATAATTGTTGTATTAGGCCGGCGCGAAAAAGAGAATCGGTGAGCAGCCGATACAGAAAACATTGCTGCAGAGATAAGTAACTGGCTGATATGATCTTTCTTGTTGAATTTCAATGTCCGCTACATCTACAAGTGCCGACACTAACGTAATTAAAATCCGCTGGAATCCAGTAACTGCCTATGAATGCCTTGCGTCAAATATAATAAAGTAAAATGCTCTTTAAAAGCACATTGAGTCGACCTTTCATCCTTTCCTTTTAATTCTTCTCCTATTTAGTTACTCAATCTTGTTTTGTTCTCTCTCTACCCGTACCTGACAATGTGCCTCTTCACCACACTATCATATAATTTGCATATAATTTGCATACACACGCACACAAAAATATACCGTTTAATAAATAGAGTGTGTCTACTGAAGTACGAGTATCCACTAAAAATAATGTTTAAGTAATAAAAATTAGTCAGATTAATAAATAAAAAATCCATCCCTTTCTTTAGAAATTGCTTTGTCTACGTTAGGATATGAAAATGAGCAGATATGTCTATTTCAAGAGTCAGAGAAAAATCTGTGTTTACAGGCACTATTCAGACATTTTTTGGCCATCAGCACACTCCGTAGCCGAGAGCACATCAGATCTAATGATGGTTTACCCTAATGTAAATGCAGGTTCGAATTCTGCTGGAGAGAACATGTTTTTTTAATAAGATTTCTCCAATATTCTGGCCTGTAGATGAAATAAATATATATATACTTTTTAATAAATAGAGTTTCTACACAAATACAAGTATTCCCTAAAAATATCATTTAGGTAATAGCTTTGTTGGATTAATAAATAAAAAATCCAATTCCTTTCTTTAGAAATTGCTTTGTTTACGTTAGGATATGAAACTGAGCTGATATGTCTATTCCAAGAGTCAGGAAAGATTTGTGTTTAAAATCAGCTTGATTTTGGCGTGGCAATCGAAAGAAACTGTTTCAAACCCTTATACCAGCACTCAGACATGCACAAAATCTATATAATCATAAAAGCGTCTCACTACAGCCCCAGAAAAATACCTTCTTTTTTTTTTTTTTTTTAATCATTTCACCCCAATCAGGGCGATAATGCCACTAAGATACAAGGAGGTGCGACTGAAAGTGAAAAAGAATG